GGGGGGAGGTAACAAAAGACTTTGTTAACACGATACAAAGGTTAACTCACACAGTCAATGGCTTTATCACTCTGAGACATCAAATCATTAGCATTCTGTTGTCTAGGTAGTGAAGCTACTCTAGGAGGCAGCCCTCCCCAGGTTACCTCACAGTTACAAAAGAAGGAGCAGAAGTGTGTTTGCGTATCCTGCCCCTCTGTCAGGATTGCACTGACAATCTTAATGTCAAAAGAACCAAGCAATCACATCCTGGGTTGGGACACTCAAGCAACTGTGCTTGCCACTCCACACTCTCTGACCATCAGACAAGGTGCAAATGGGCCTGCGTTTTTCCCACCTCCACAATTCCCTAAGTAACTCAGCACAACAAATATCAACCTAGAATTTGTATTATATTAAATATTTTAACTAAAGAGGGTTGCACGTGTTATGTGAAGAAACTGAGTGTCCGCAGAGTTTTGTATCTTCAGAAAGATGTGGAATCATGCCTTGAAGGATCCTAAGGGACAGCTGTAGACAGTTGTGTGTAGATCTAACGTGTGCAGCTCGTGAATGCTTGGGACCTTATATCCAACAGGGTCGTACTTGCAAGTGACCTATGCATCCCTCTCTAGATTGCTTACATGATGTGAGTATCTGAGCTGAGAACAGCCATCTTCCCGCCTCTGTCGTGACAGTACATGTTGAGCAAGTCTGATTTGTGTGAGTGATGCGGCTGTAGGTAGAAAGGCTTCTCAGAGGTCATACCATGCTACTATGAGGCTCAAGATATATAAAAGATACTGACATGAGCAAGAGATAGGCTGCCTTCAGGAAGCCACAGGGTGCTTTGTAAACTGATTTAACAGGAGGTGAGGAGAAAAACATAAATGGTAGTAGAAAAAAAAAACCTGTAGATTTTGGATGTTTAAGGGTAGAAACTAAAACCAAGTGACTGACAATATCTTCAAATTAGCCCAATATAAACAGAAAATATTGAAATGGAAATCCCTCTGCTTTGAATATGTACAGACTCTTTTCCTTTTTACTCCTTGAACAAAATAAGGCAGTATAGATTTCTGCACTCAGTGATGATATTATACTAGGTACGACAGAAGCTCTAGTGATGATCACATGAAGACGTTCACAGATTATATGCAGGGGCTGGAGAGATGGCTCAGCCAAAAATATAGATTATATGCAGATATTATGCCATCTCATGTTATGGGCTGAGCACCTGAAGATTGTGCTTCTGCACAGGTCCTGAAGCAAACCCTTCACATGTTCCAGTGTTGACTGTATACCCAGTTCAGAGGACCCCGAGCAGGAAAGCTGGGCTGAAGTGATGGGAGCTCAGTGGTTAAGAGCCCTGCAGTGCCATCATGAGGACTGGAGTTCAGATCCCAGCGCCCATGTAGGGTGCCTCCCAAACAGCTGTAACACCCACTCCAAGGAATATGATGCCCTCTTCTGGCCTCTAAGGTCCCCGGAACACACATGTATGCATGCACACACACATGAAAATAAAGCAAAATTTAAAAAAAAAGAGCAGGTAAGCCCTACAGAAGGAGAAAAATGTTAACAGAAGCAGTAACTGAGAGCTCATATCTTTAAGAATGTTGGTGATTATGTGGAATCTTTGAAGTTCACCGTTTATTATTCTGTAATTTGATTTTAGAGTAAGGAAAATATGGACAGCTGAAATGATGGTCTCTATGTTATAGATACAGAACGTTAAGACACACAGAAGATAAATCAGCAAAGCAATGACTCACTATTATTAAAACAAAGACATTTCCTTTTTTAATAGAAAAAGATTTTATTGAGGCATAGTATTTCAGAGGGTAAGTATATGACTGTCATGACAAGGTGCATGGCAGCAGATAGGAGGCAGGCAGGCATGGCAGTAGACAAGTATGTATGGAAGCAGGCAGGCAGGAAAGGTGGTAGAGCAGCAGCTGAGAGCTCACATTCTTACAGACAATGACCCAGAGAGAGAAAAAGAGAGAGAGTGAGATGATGTGAACTACTTTTGGAACCTCAAAGCCCATGCCCAGTGGCACACCTCCTCCAACAAGGCCACAGCTCCTCCAACAAGGCCCCACCTCCTCCAGCAAGGCCCCACCTCCTCCAACAAGTTCACACCCTCTCCAACAAGGCCACACTTTCTATTCCTTCCCAAACAGTTCCACCAACTTGGGAACAAGATTCGAATATCTGAGCCTATGGGAGCCACTATTTCAGACCATCACACCTCCTTCCCTCTGGGCATCAGGGGTTGTGGGGGAACTCTGGGTTCTATCCTAGCTTTGCCATTTCCCAGGTGTGCAGAAGAAATAAGAGACTTCACCTTGATGCTGAGCCTCAGTTTCTCCATCTGGGAAGTGAGAGTGGGGGTCACGGCAATCTGAAAGATCTGTTGTCCGATTTGGAGGCGATAACACCCAGAGCAGGTGCCCATGAGCATGCTGTCCTTCTGTTACTGTAAGTTAGAAGCAGCTTGCTGTCTGGCTTGGGCTCTCACTCA